TTTTACATTTTCACACTAATTAGTCTTTTTTTGTGGTTTTCTAGTTTTTCATTTATTTATAATTTTCCTCTGAACTGATCTTATATAGGAGGTTCATGGGAAAATCTCAATAAAATGAAAAACCAAGAAACACTCTGTTAGATTAGTTGATCTGATAGATATGATTAAACAGACCGTTAAAACATTATTTTTAAACTAAAAAACCCACCCCCTATGTTTTAAATCGAAAAAAATGCGAAATATAACCAAAATTCAGACGAAACAAATTACTTAAAGAAACAATCATATTTTTCTCATTAATTTGATATTTATATTCATATATATATATATATATATATTATTTTGCATTTATTTATAGTTATTGGTGGTTTTAATAATTAAAAGAGGGTAGAAGAAGAATAGTAGGATGAAAGTTGAGCAAGTTGACGGTTGTGCCCCTGATCCTAGGGCATTAATTCTTTTGTCTTGTTTCATGAGACACACAAAAAGAAACAAAAGCTGGTACCCTTTTATCTGTCAATCACATGTTGTCCTTTTTGTTCAAAATTGGACTTTCGTTCTAACGGTATCTCCATCGTTAAAAAAATACACTCTAATGAGCCATTTATTAAACACTTATCCGGTAACATGTATCCAAAAACAAATTAAATTACACTAATTTTTCGAGTTAATATATTCGTCCTACAAATGTTCAATTAATGCATTTCAAAGTTCAATGTGAGCATCTTTATCCTTGATCTTTTTATGTCGAGCAACAAATTGTTGAAGTCCAACATTGTTATCACTCACCATCTCAACTTTTGGAGTTGGCACTTCAAGTTGTTCTTCAGTTGTTGCATTACGGTATTCAGTTTTATGTTATTATTTTAGCACAAAACTGTAGGATTTATAATTGTTTTCAAATGGTTTTCTAATTGACACATAGAATTTTTTTTAATTAAGAAATTGTGTTGGTTGTGAGTATGATTTTTTAATAGAAAAATGGTTTTTGGTAATTGTTAATATCAGATCAGTATTTTTGCTGCTGTGGGCCATGACAGTGAATAGTATGAGAAATTGTAAAGTATAATTTCTTGATAAGAAATTGCTTAATATCACATCATGTTTTTTAATGTTTTGTGGCATATGTGTATAAAAATTGTTTGAATAATAGTAATCTGATCGTTGATTAATATTGATATAATTTTGTATTAATTAAATTATAAATTTAACAATAATATATTAACGAATATTAAAAAATGCAAAATATAATTCATATTAAAATAGAATAAAATAAATTACATAATAAAAATACAAAATTAACGCATATAAAGTTACATGA